CAAGGTGATGTCTAGACTACACGCCTCTGTCTCCAGAGGCATGTAGATTAGGCTACCTGGCATAGGGAAATGAAGCCGTGATTTAAATAATCACGGCTTCATTTAAATTTAAATGGCTGGCATGCTCTGTCGACCAGATGATGATCAGCTGTTTGTCTGCTGGTACTCAGGGGGATGTAAAAAAAACAAAAAACAAAAAAAAAACATTGCCCTTTTAACAGTAGAGCAGGCCTTGCCCTTTTAAGGCGCCCTTTTAAGGTGGCCATTTTGAAGTCTGCCCGGGACTCTGCATCCTCTCCCCACCGCTGAGTGTTCCCGCAGATGCCCGAGCCAGGAAACCAGAAAACAGCGACATTGCACATGGTATTTTCAGAATTTTTGTACCAGATGGATCAGCCTCTTTCTTGGGGGATGGATTGATGGGGGGAGGGTTGGGTTGCCTTGCATCCCCCGCTCCAGAATTTCTTCATTCCCCTTCCTCCTCCCGTTGGCGGCAAGGATTGCAATGGGGGTTGCTTCTGGGGGAGGGGTGCCGGGCAGTGCCAGGGAACAAACACTCCCAGCCACCCAGGCACCCCAGTGACCCTCGGTTTTGTGTGTCCCTCTGCAGGTGGTCAAGGCCATCGACTGGGTGCTGCTCCGCAGGGTGGTCCGCCTCGCCGACCAGGACGCTGTCATCTAGGGGGTTCAGTGCCCTCGGCTTTCCCAAATCTAGGAAGGAGCATGGCGGAAAGGGATCTAGGGGTCATAGTGGACCATAAGTTGAATATGAGTCAACAGTGTGATGCTGTTGCAAAAAAAGCAAATATGATTCTAGGTTGTATCAACAGGTGTGTTGTAAGCAAAACTCGTGAAGTCATTCTGCCGCTCTACTCTGCACTCGTTAGGCCTCAATTCTCGATTCCTTGCTTTGTGCTTGTGAGTCTCCTAGTTTCTCAGCTTTTCTCTCTCATACTGGCCGAGGATTTTTGTGCTGCGCTCTACTTCACTGATCTGTACGTAAATGCCAAGGCCCAATTAGTGCAAGGAGCTTAACTTCTGAGCATTCCTGGATCTCCTCCCCACCTGCTCAATCCTATTATATTCCCAT